TTTACATTGCTCATGAGGACAGACCTATGGGACAGACCTACCTTATTTGCAGATTCTTAGAAATTGTAATTTAATTTGTAATTGATTGTGGATTTTGTATCCAGTTTTCACTTTATGTATCTTTATACAATGTTTACTACTTTGCTTATGAGGACAGACAGCATTATTTACAGATTCTTGAAATTCAATTGTAATTTCATTTGTAAATAGTTACATTCATGTGGATTTATCCAGTTTGCACATTTGTATGCATGCACTTATAGGTGCATTTGTTGTTGTTGAAGGCCTGGTTGTTACAGTCTTTATTTACACTATTTTGTTGTAGGCCTACTGGCCTAGATGTTTATGCAGTTTTAAAGCACCTTGGCTTTGTTCTGAATGCACTTTGTTGTAGTTATCCTACAGAGAAAAGAAAATGCACTTGACTTGGAATTAATGTACTGTATGCATTCAAAAGTGCTGAATAAATGTTTTATGGACCCATAATAGTGATTATTATTTAAGTTAAGTTTTGCCATAATCATTTATTTTTCCATAATCAGGCAGCTGAACAACATTGGTAAAAAATGTATACATTACATATATATATATTCTATTAATCCTTTTCGGCATTCGGTTTTCGGCCAACTGTTTCCTATTTTCGGTATCGGTTTTGGCCAAGAATTTCCCATTCGGTGCACCCCTACTAATTACCTATTTTTTCATTGTGGGTGTCCGGTATGTGGAAGTAGTATACACAGCAGTACAGCATTAACACATACATTTGAGAAAAAACAGTCAATCCCCTTCATGGAGCAATGTGACACTTCACATAAATCATACACTAAACTGCTCAGGATGGCCAGGGAAGGTGTGTGCGTCACACTATATTAACTTGTTAGTAACTAACTGTCTGCACAAATTGTCCACATTTAAGAATGAGACAGCTGGAGGAGGTGCTGAAGATGTAGGAGGACACCAGGCTGGGCTGGGGCAGGGGGCAGAGAGACCCAACAGAAATCCATCACGGGTGGGATTGCAATAACAGTTCATCTTTGTGGGATTACCAGGAACCTTCTCTTAAAGGTGTGCTTTTCTATTTACAACCTTAAACTTGATGCACGTATTGCCTAAAAATCTCTCCATTGCGTATTTCATTCTTCAGTCAGAGGGGCTTTTGCTTCTCGCGGTACGCTACGATAACAATCAAAGGGGAAATAAAATACTGTAATAAATGCGTTTTTTCCAACTGGAATCTGTATACGTTTTACTTGACATACAGCCATGCCAAATGAGTCATGCAGCAAGGAGATGATAATCAATATTAAAGCAAATATTGATTATAGAGTCTAAATGATAAGACGTAGCATTTCAATGGCCCAATTGGAATTGGGACCCAAACAACATTGACATACTGTGTGGGAGGACCAATAGTGAACTGTTCAAGTAATCCCTAAAATATTAGTAAATTGAGGGAGCTGAAAACTAACTAAAACCTACCAAAGCACATGTGGTTTAGTTTAAGTCATAAGCACCAGCAGCTGCTGGATCCCAAGGGTTCCCACAGTAATGCACACAAGGATATTTCATGTTTAGCTTTTATTTAGTAAATAATCTAAATACATTCAAACTATTTGTATTTTCCTTTAAATTTAAATATTACATTTAGTCCAGCCAGGAGAAACGTTACTGTCAGTGTGATTGATGATAGTATGTATATTAATCTAGATCTCCCATTCTTTTTAGGAAGAAAATTGTGGAGATGACCTTTTGTACCCTGGAGCACCGATCACCAAAGGTCAAAGTCTGCTCCTTCTAATGTCCTATGTCCTGAGGCATAACCTGACCGGAATTGCACTGGACCATCTACTACAGATTTGTAATGAACATTTTCCCGGATTAATGCCAGCAACCTCGTATCTCTTCCACAAATCATATGCTCAATATGGAGAGTATGAGCCCCATTTTTACTGCCATCAGTACTCTAACTATATTGGAACAAAGGAATGTGGTTTGGCACAGTTTGCTCTGTGTCAATCGTCATTTGATGTGAGCATTAGCCTAAAAAAGGGTTCGTATTTTTTGGTTGTCAGTTTATCCTCGCAGATCAAGGAGATTCTGGAAAATCCCAATATACAAATCGCAAGACATATATCAACTCCAGGTTTCATCTGTGATATCCAATGTGGAGGAGAATATAGGAAGCTCAAAGACAGCGGTGAAATTGGTGAAGATGATATCAGTCTGCTATGGAACTGTGATGGGATCCCTGTTTTCAAAAGCTCCAAGTGCCAAATATGGCCTATTCAGTGCCAGATCATTGAGCTACAGCCTGCAGATCGGAAGAACAACATCTGTGTTCCTTGCCTTTGGTTTGGAGAGAGCAAGCCCAACATCCAAACACTCCTCACTCCTTTTGTAAACGAACTTAAGGAACTTCAAACTCATGGCATCACCTGGGCAGATGGTTGCACTTCAAAGGTGCATGCCCTAATATGTAGTTCAGATTCTGTTGCCCAGCCACTTATCCGAAATACGAAGCAGTTTAATGGAATTTATGGTTGTGACTTCTGTTATCGAAGAGGTGGGGGTCCTTATCCATATGTTAGTCCTGAGCACGGTCTTCGTACTGAAGCTGAGCATTTTGACAATGCCATGAACGCAACACCTCAGCAGCCTGTCATGGGAGTGAAAGGCCCAAGTCAACTAATGAAATTGGACAAATTTCAAATGGTCCAAGGCTTTGTTCCTGAATACCAGCACAGTGTATGTCTCGGGGTTACTAGACAGCTGGCTACTCTGTGGCTGGATTCCACAAAGCATCAAAATGGGTGGTACATAGGCACCAAAACTGAGCTGTACCCTGTTGAAATATTTCAAAGGAACAACTCATGTCCCTGTACAGATAATGAGAAGGTTCCTTAGAGGGAGGAGTCTCACAAAGAAAGGAGCCACAATAATGCAAAATGCTGATGAGAATATTAAAGATCTTTTCTCTGAACGGCTGGGCAGCAAATGTTCAACTGACAAATCAGTTCAAATCAGTGCCCATGTCTAAACTCCTGGAGCAGACATACAGAGTGAGCAGCAGCTGGGCAGGAGGAGACCTGCTCAAACTGACGTGGAAGTTTCAAATTGGATTGACAGGCGCGGACAGTTCTCATTTGCAGGTTTCTTCGATGACGTTTATATTAACCAATCAGGAGTGTTGTGGACTCATTCCAATCCTGCTTGTAGTTTCTGGTACAATACACTGTGTTTTGGTCAAGGAGTTTCTGAAGTTTGGAAGGGAGCTGTGCAGAGACACAACACTTCATATTGCATCAAGCTTTATGTATGAAGTGTCTGAGTGCAACAATGTGTACTGTATGCCATAAATCCAGACTCATTGACATGCAAATGTGTCATGATTAAGTCGAGGGAGAAGATATATGTTATCCCTCCACCAAACAACATTGAACAAGACTGATTTGACTGGACATCAAGGAAGCCTCAAGAACTGATTCAGACTATAGGCTTGATGTAATTCAACAGATAACGAATGAGATTAAATAATGAGCCTATAATGGGAAAATAAGAGTACTAATTTCCAATTCTGTGCACAATGAATTCTGTCATTTTGATGTTCTGCTTCCTAGTATTTTGTAATGTACGAATCCCTAGTAGATTGACTTGTTAAGTACACACCTGTAGTAGAATGTTGAATGGGGTGTACCAATGTGTTTTAGGAACCTGTTCTGAACCTGACATACATAAAGTGCCTTCTGTCAAGTAAGTCTTTGTGCATTAATAGATGATGGTAATAGTCCAGACCTATACACTTCCCAGAGGTGTAAACAAAGTACACTATTCACAGGTGTTATAAAATAAACACTTATAAAGTACACTGAAGTACAGTTTAAATTGAACTAACATTAAAGTGCATTGTTTGTATACTTATGTACACTTCTAATGAAGTGAAATTCAAGTCTACTTAAATAAAGCATACTAATAGTGTATTACAAAATACTAAAACATAATTGTACTTTTGATCAGTATACTTAATGACCACTATAAGTATTTGCAATTTAGTACGTAGTAGCAAAAGTGTACTTATTTGCAATTCACAATACACTTAGATTCAAGTACACTGAAATACCACTTTAAGTATTTCAGAAATAGTAGTTATTTTTTTAGTACGTTGAAATTGATCTAAATTACATCTATTTTGAATTACACTTTTTAAAAGTACATTTTAAACATACTTTAAATTAAGCACAAAAAGTAAAAGTATACTTGTATACACTTTTGTATACTTAAATTATATTTCTAATAAACTAAAGTATACTACTTTTTGACCTGGGTTTTACATGTAAACAATGGTGTTATCTACACTGTAATCTGATTACCTTGCTGGTCTGTTTCATCTTGTTGAGTTGAGTCTTCAGCCTCTCCCCCTCCTCCAAGGCTCTGTTCAGACGCACCTCCACGCTGCTGTGGACGGCCACCGCTTGTTTCTGGGATCTGTTCAGATTTTCTATTTCCTGCACATAGCACGGCCAGGAAGTGATCACAGGAGTAATGGAAGATCATGTCACATTTTGTAGTTCGTTATTAAAAAAGTATGGGTTACAGACCTTTTGGAGAGCAGACACTTGCAGTTGAACACCTTCACATTTTCTGTTGGAGTCCTCAGCTAGCGCTCTGTGCTTCTCGATCTGTGTCTGCTGGATGTTTGTTGTTTTCTGCAGTCTGACTCGATCCTCCTCAAGCTCCTTGATTCTTGCACTAAGTTTAGCATTTTCATCATCCTGCAACAACAGATGCTAATGTTAACAACAACAGGAACACAGTGTAGAACAATGTTGTCAATATTTAAAGTCATCTGTATTTCCAGGTCCTTCCTTCCTACAGCCCCTGGTAGACCCCCCCCCCCCCCCCCCCACAAACACAACAACACAGACTATGCTATAACACCCCTACAAAATTATGTGCAAATATATACTGTTAATAACTGTGCAATATATACCTGGCTGCTTCATCTTAAAAACTTTTACAGATGCGTATTTTGAAAATGGTGTACTTTTTTATTTTTTTAATCTTTAATATTTTTTTCATGCTTGCTTTTTAGTTAATATTAAGCTGTTTTTGGCTCTTTTCTTGCTGTAACAAATGCAAATGTCCCCTCTGTGGGACGAATAAAGGTATTCTGATTCAGATTGTTCATCACTGATGTTGAGCTGAAGTTCTGTCCCCCCCTGCTGATAGGCTTGGGTCATTACAGTTCTAGTTAAATCTTTTTTATCCACACATTACCTTCTTGTAATATTCACATGAGAATTGATCCAGTTCCTCTTGCATGATCCCTAGTTTTGCCTTCAGAACTCGTATTTGAGCATCTGAAACACCTAACCGCAACAAAAACAGAGCAACACAATCAGACTTAGGAGCCCATTTCACTTTTCCCCTTGAAAAAATGCTTAAAAAACACATCAACCATCTCACACGTCTTGAACACATTCTTGACGCCTTCAGACGCCATATTAACCCCAATAAACAGTTCTGCTTTGCAGAGAAAACAAAACAAATAGTAAGAATGTATCATTTATTTTGCTAAATAGATTCAGAGATTGTATTTAAGTATATTTATTTGCGAAAAAGCTAACAGAGTGAATGGCAGTCTAATAAATGACTTATTGAAACCTTAAAACGGACCTGTAGGGAGAAAATGACATGCTTTAAAATAAATATTTGTGTAATTCACTATTAGTGAATACAACTGGGATTTCCTTTTCACAAGTTGGGATGGACATTACCTGATCCTACATTTTCTCCAGCAGTATCAAAATCATCCATGACACTTTCATGAATCATGATGTCGTTCATCTTCTCCTCCATGCTACGTATGGTATTAGCCAGGAAAGAATCAGCAGAGTCTTCTCCAGCAACTAAATCATCCACACGAGAAGCCTTTGAGGTTCTGAAAATGGTGTGAACAATGTGAAAACTTTGAATGTCCTTGTGAGGAAATGCATGCAGAATATATTTAACTAACAGTTACAATCAAACTTACGCGGTTTTCAAGTGAGGCTCCTTGTCTTGTTGACCAGTACACATGTTGTTTGATGTTGATGTGACTCTTTTTTTGGTCACCCCCTAAGTAAATGTATAGCAAATATAATTTAAAAAAAACATATTAGAAAGACCTACAGCATTGACAAAATGTAGCGGTGGATGGAAAACTAGTGTGTGTTGGGGCAATTGTTTCAGAAATACAGGCAGAAAAACATTATAACGATACCTTTACACCGGGCCCCTGCAGAGTTCTCTGTTTTAGCTTTGGTATCCTGGAAGGGAAATTATAGATAAATACATGGAAACAGTTAGGTATATATATATATTATAGATACATTTATTATTTTGTTGCGTAGGTTCTTTCTCTGGAATAAGTTTAGACCTTTTCAAATTGAACAGTAATTATTGTGTCATGCCCAATCCTCCAAAGATCTGATCTATCTATTACCTTGACCTCTCTTCATCCTCAATGTCCGAAAGCAGGAGGGTAGATAAGGGTTTTGACAGAACTTCATTCTGGTCTCTCTAAATTTGGATAAACACCAATAGGGAGGTTCATTTTTTAAGGCAGTTTTCACTTGCCAAATTACAAAAAGAATGTGTGTCGTTTTTACAACACACTAGTGTGAACATGTTGATAACTTACCATAAGTTGTTCTGCCTGTCTTACTAGATCAGCTGTTTTGGCTTCCAGCTCTGCATTCATGAGTCTGAAGAAAAATAAATAAATAAAGATGTAGATCAGTGCTTTTTGAAAACTTGAGAAAAATACTAAATGTCTTTTGGAACAGGAGGTCTTACTTGTATTGTTCTTCCTTGGCCAAAAGGTCATCTGTGTGATTTTTCGTTGGGCCTGAGGCAGATTTGACCTGCGGTCGTACTTCAATCCTCTTCGACCTCTCAGCCTTAGTGCACGAGGACAGGCGTTTCTTGGGCTAAACAAGACAGAGAGCCAGACTTGGTAACATGGATTTTCTAAGTCAATATTTCACAAAGGTCTAAAATTGGATTATGATCTAAATTAATTAGCAATTGACTTTCACACCTTGTGAGCCGGACTGATACTGCTTCTTTTTTTTTAACTATTCATTCTACCGTGTTGTGTGCTGTTTTATGTTGTTCCATGCTCACTGCTAACTGCTTGTAGCACTTTTTGGGATTTGACTTCAAATATGAAGTGCGTTACAAATGAAACCCATTATACATTGTTATATTATTTGTACATAAGCACAGTAAGTAAGCCCTGTTTTCTTTCAACTATAAATGTCCCGCTCAGTACATTACATGTTACTTGTTAGACGCTTTTATCCAAAGCGACTTACATACTCAATAATGTGGACAATCCCCACAGGAACAATTTGGGGTGAAGTGTCTTGCCCAGGGACACAACGACATGCTGACTGCAGTGGGGTTTGAACCTGTGACCCCCTGATCCGAACACCTACGGACAACCCACTAGCCACACGCCTCCTCCATGACATATATACAAAAATATATTTTATGTTTATTCATGTTTTTTTATTTAAGAAAACACATATTAGCAGATAGTTCATAATCAAATTTTGTAACCATCAAATATAAATACTGATCTTTGCCTTACAGCCCCTGCACTCACACACTTTTAGAAAAGTTGTCAAAGATCTTCCCTATTAATATAACTGAAAGCCATAAACTAGAAGTGGTACCTCCATAAAAAGTGATTAATACTGTAAAATGGCTGCACACCTAGGCTGAAGTAATTGATCGAAAGGGGTTGTCTTATGATAAACTGTATAACATATAATACCTGTAAGATTATTTGGTTTATGGGTTTGCACTTTATATGTTGTACTCAGAGGTTATGTAAGAACTGATGATTGAACATCTGCATGGGATTAGCTCAGTGTATTTTTCTGCCATTCATAACATATTTTTCTTCCACAATGTTAATACATCGGTTAGAGTACAATGATTATAATGTTAGCGGAAAAACAATTACACTGTTAGCGGAAGTAGCGTAACGTTAGCTTGTGTGTTGATGTATGTTGGCGAGCAACTACACCTGTTGGAAATAAATAAATCGGTGTAAACCTTTTGGTGGCAAACAAACAGTTAAGTTAAAACCTAGGATACATTAACATGACACATTAACGTTTCAAACCTGAGACACGCCAGGCTGAGATGGACGGAGCTTTTTATCAAAACTTCTTTCGGCCATTGTCACTAAACAGGGAAAAGATACGGGTCTGGTTGCATAGCAACTACTCGTTCAATGCGCCCAGTACGGTAACCCTTTAAGGACATCTAAAGGCGAATAATGATTGATTTGTTTCGTGAAAAAATAGTTTTCTCTGAGGATGACATTCATCAAATATTAAATAGTTTGTAATTTAACAAAAGCATGTAATGTCGTGAAACACTGGCCTTTTGAAAATGATATGCAGACTTAAATCGGTGCTATGGCACCTATGGAACAGAGTGTACCAGTGGTACGAAGAAGTAAGTAGTCTGTACAGATTAACATGTAGAATTGAAGTCAGTGTACTTTGATAGTCCAGCCCACAACTAACAACATTTAAATAATAATTGTAAATATTTATATTATTATGATTCATATTAACTTTGGATGTATGTTTTTTTTATTGCTGGGTCTAAAGTAAAAATATCCATGTGTACATTCCCATTCATAGTAACGTGCTCAGTAACGTCTCCTGCTTAGATGTTGTTTTTTAATGCTGGGGGTCCAGTGCGCATGCGTGGTCCCAACAGCTACTACTCACCATGCACATGCAGAGAAATCCCATAACGTGAGGGGCACAGCTCACCGGAGGGACTAGCTAGTTTTTTATTTTGCAGCTGTCCGTGTACTGTGTGTTTACACCTGCCTTTACTTATTTATATTCATGCATCACGTCGCGACTGACAGCTACACATAGTTTTGTTGCACAGCGTCTTTAATTCACCAAGTGTCGGGACTTGAAGCGAGCGATGTCGGAGGAGGACTGGGTGGCAACAACAACAACAGGGCGCGCTGCTGTCCCGTTAGCATCGCAACGACCTCCAGTCCATGTTGTCTAGCCCGAGAACACCCTCCCACGCCTCCCGTCCAGCCCAGCCCAGTGCACACCCACCCCGAGGCCCAACGTGATGGCCGAGGAGGACCAGCAGCCGCCGCCGGACCGCGGGGCGAGCAGCATGCCCGGCCTGCTCACCGGGCTGCAGGGCGCCGAGGCCAGCGCGCTGCAGCTCCGGATCAAGAACTCCATCTGGTGAGGAGCTGTACTCATACATACTATGCTTACATGCTTAAAGGGAAGGGATTCCTTTTATAGTTTTTGATCGTAAAGGCAGGTGGAAGTGGTGTTACTCCACAATGTTATAATAGCCTAGTTAATTAGTGGTACTGCTGCATGCAAAAGGTTACTCAGAGTAAACATCAGTTTTATTAGCCAAATGTACTAGCATAACAAGTAAGCCGTTGTCGTTGAGAAGTCCCCGTGTAAGTATGACATTGTTATAATATATATTGTTGTTTTACTATATAACTAATGCATTAATACTGTTACAGGTGGAACCACGTATAATACAAGTACAAATAATGATACTAACAACATCGTTTTCATAAAAGGACACACAATCTAAATAGTTATAAAAGAACATTAAAATATACAGTAAGATTCAACTAAAACAAAGTTAGTAAAGTGCAGTTATTGAGTTACATTCCACCACTGTGTTTACCTGAGTAGTAGTAGCAGTACCATAGAGTGAAAATAATATATTACTAGTTCATAACAAGTCCTGTATGCAGACATGAAATGACTCCATATTGGGTTAGGGTTACACACTGTAGCCTAAATTATAGCTTACATTTGATTATATTATTATAATTTCTAGAGTTATTTATACTTTTCATACTGGGAAATAGTTTAAATAGTAACAGGTTCTCCTATTTTAATCACCAATTGTGTGTTAAGCATGAGCAATATTAATCCTCTAAAGTATCTACCCTTCATGCAGTGAAGTTGAAGTATAACTTGCATTACATTACTCAATGGTACTAGAGTAGATGCTAATACACATTCCACCATCATTGTCTGACTCAACATGAACATGTTGCTATCTTAACAGTAAAGCAGATCTTCTTGGGATCAATAACTATTTTTATTCTTTAGGGTCAGGGCTTGACATGAACAAGGGTGGAATATATAACAGATTTAGGGCTCTGGAAAATCTTGAAATAGTAAAAAGGTGTAGGAACCCTGATATATAATGTGATGACACATTGCTGCACAATAAACTACCCACAGAATATGTAGTGTAAATGCTTCCATCCAATTTCAACATTGAAATGTTGCTTTCACTTAAATGCACCCGTTTCATATTGTAATAATAAGTTAATAGTGTAATATTAGGGCTGCAACTAATGCATATTTTCATTGTCAATTAATTGATAGATGACAATTATTTTCTCAGTAAACCAATTAGATGTTTTGTCTATGAAAACTGAGAAATACCTTTCTTTAAAAATGATGAAACCAATTGAACATTCTAACAATTGCGAATTGATTAAATTCTTGGAGCTGTAACCTGATACCTTACATTTGACAGGGTCATTGTGCCTGCATAGTTCAGTGTATTTTACTCAAGAAACATTTTGATTTCAGGACTCATGTTGCTACTTTCCTTCAGTAAAGGTACTAGTTAATCCTTTCCTTCACTTCCTCATCTCTTTCTTATTTACTGATGAGCTGAAGGCGTTGTCACAGCAGCAGCTATTTACATTCAAGTTCCCTCTATTTCCATCATCAGAACACTACCGACAGAAAGCAACAGCTCCGTTATGTAGTTCCTGTAGCAGTGTGTAAACCGACTCATAATACTCGTAATATCTCAGTTTCACACCATTGTAAATGTGCCTAACCCTTGCAACATAAATATAATGGCATTTTTATCTCACAAATACCAGACATGGCCATGATCTTATCCAAATCATTTTCATACCAGTTTATTTAAAAGTGTTCACTACGCTCAGACGTCATTGCCTGGTTTAAGGGTACAAATAACTTTACAAATAAATAAACCACACAGAATCACATGACGATAAGTCAACATGAAGTATGAAGTAACCTATTTAAAATTAGGAGGATCCACCACCTACTACAATTTGCATAATAAAATAAAAAAATACTGAATGTAAGCCTATGTTTTAAAATTGAGTATCTGTCTGCTGTGAAATAAGAGAGAAATTCAAGTGTTACGCTACCACATATTAGAAAAAAAAGTGTATTTGATAGTGTATTGTCTGTGGTTGCTGTTATTTCAGGCTGTGTTCTAACCGACAATACCCTTTTATTTCTGAATGTATATGAACTCAAGTACTATCATTTAAATGTCAAACAGCCATTAAATGTCAAGAGGCTGAACTACTCAAAAGCACAACAGTTCAGAGATGAAGCGTATGCAGGGAAACCTCCACAGGAACGCTTCACTCTGCTGCTAACATGAGGGGATATTGAAAATGTGTCCTTCTCCCTAAATCTTTAACCTTTAAGTGGATTAGAGCATACATATTGACGTTTACTTGAGCAGCTGAGTGGTTCACGGTAGAGTGTGACTATCTTAGTCGAGGTCAGCAAGTTTATTTGCAACTACACCCTCGCTCTGTCATCACATGGAGCGATAGTCTTTAGTGCACACCACTGTTCCTGCTGGCTTTCATTCAAGCCGCCCAATCAGGCTGAGTTACACCCGGATATTTTACACAGTGTTGTTGTATCAGTTCTTTTATCCATTTAATGCTTGAGGTGCCAAATCGGCCCAACAAACAGCTCAACGATGGCCTTTTAGCATGGGAACATCCGTGGCTCCCTAGTAACAGTGAATTAAAGTGACCTGTTCTCGTCGTGGCTTAGAGCAACTCCTGATTCTGCCCTTCCTGGTGTCGCCGAGTAAGAGTCTTTAATGTGACCTGTCTTATGTCTCACAGCAAGTACAACAACAACTTTACCTTTCTGCAGATTAGGATTTAGACCTGGAGAAGTGATAGTCTTGTATCTGGCCGGACTCTGAGCAATGTATCATTGGTTTAAATCTGTCTTCTACACTTTTTTGCGTTAAAAAAGGGCTCTGAGGTATGGGGCATTGCATTTACAGTATATTGTGCAAAATACTGGTTGCAAAGTTGATTTGCTCTGCGTCTTTTGTCCGGCTGGTACTGCATGTAGGGCTGCAGAAACTCGTCTTTTCTATCGTCATCATGATGGAAAATGTATTTTTCTTTCATTCTTGTTTTATTGGTGCCTTTTTTGTTGTTTCATAAATTAAATAATTATTCAACAACAATATGTTGGATTCAAGCAGTATACTGAAAACAGCAAAAAGACACGTTAATATCTGTTTATTTACCAAAAATGACTTCATAAATGACCTTTTATTGTTCAGCCCTACCAGTGTATACAGTATGGAATTGACTGGCCTCCTTATATCGTAGAATACACAATAGCTGTGAGTATACCGATATAAAATCAGGAATCAAAATAAAACATTTGCTTTTCTTAAAATATAGTTCAACTTATTGTTAAAACATATTAATAAATTAAAAAGGTGAAAGTCCATATTTTTATCAATGTATTCCTTCAACATTAAATGGGATGAAACAGACATAGTAGGTTTCCTGGGTAACTGGAAATGGATGCCTGTGTTCTTCTGTCAGAGACAATGTCTGTGGCTGTTTCTCTCTGTCTCTTTTACATTTGACAACATGTGTTCCTGGTGGTGGGATACATGACCTGAGATGCTAAGGGGAGGGTCGTCTCATACCAAACATTCTTCTGCTTTATAAATAAATAGACTTTAGACTCAAGCGCTCATGTTACAACAGCTTCATACTCATTTATATTTTCTCTCTTTTTTTACAGCAAATCTGTTCAATCAAAAGTGGAAAACATTCTGGTGAGTATCTATGAAATATTTGAACAAATCTGCAAATGACATTTTGTATTACACCTTTCACATAACTTTAAAATATTGTTTGTTATTTTGTGTTTTCAGGATATAAAGCTTAAGCACTATTGTTTCCTGATGGGTTTATTTCTTGTGTTGAGTAATTTACAGAAATGATTACAAATACGGGACCTTCAAATGTTATTTTGACTTGAAGGTGGCATTTATGCAGAAAAAAGGAAGGGTCCAGCTCTGGGAAGAATGGCTGCATCAAGCAGTTACATTTTGGAAAGGC